ATAGGTACAAATTTTCATCATTTCTTGATGCTGCCTAGAATTTTGTGACATATATTTATTGTCTTGCAGGATGTCTGGTGTTCTGTATTATCATTGTCTGCCTTCTTCTCTTGAGAAAGGATCTCCCAATGAAACTGGAACTAGGCTGGGACCATCAAGCTAGAGTGATTTTCCTTGCTCCTTACTCCACTACTCCCAGTGCCTGGGTTATGAGCACACATTAGACCAAGTCTGGCTTTTGTATTGAATGTTGGGATCTGAAATCTGGTCATCATCATTACATAGCAAATTCTTTTACCTGCTGAGACAACTTCTCAGCCCCTCCTCTCTATTTTAAAGGAAGAAACTGGTGGTAGAAAAAGGATACTATAAGAAAGTACAAATATTTCTAAATCTCCATTAAATTGGTTATGTAAAAAAAAAAGCATTAAAAACGTCTTGTCCTCTTGACTAAAAGAATTGTCATTCCACTAATCATTTGATGAACTGGAGAAAAGTAAAGTATAAACAATGAACTAAACGCAGCAGAAAATACAAATCTAATGCTGAAAAGTGAAGCCTAGGAAAGAGAGGTTGAAAAGAGGTCTCAGAAGAATGTATCTTGGTTTCTCTAAATGAAACTAAAGATACTTGCTGAAGTACTTCCCAGAAAATCATAGGTTTCCATGATCCCCGTTCTTTCTGTCAGTTCCTAGTTCTTTCCAGTATTCATGGGAGCAATATGACTGATTTAACACAGGTGCAGTTCAAGCTTAACACCCAGTTTCAGTGGTCCCTGATACTTGGAAAGCAGGAATCATCAGGCTCTGGTTACCATAGCAATGAAGTATACACTCAGTTCAATCCCAGGTCCAATGGAAAGCTACACCATAGAAAGTCATTCTATTGGAAATGATGTAATAGACATGTTTGAATCTGCCTTCCCTAGAACAAACTCTTAAAAGCATAGACACTGAAAATTAGAAGAACTCAAAGAAAAACTCATATCTTTAATTAAATTAGTAAATAATTGATGACACACCATGACAAGTGATTTCCAGTAGGGAGAAATTGGTTCTAACAAAACAAAGAAAACTGGCTGGCATCTATCTTGGGCATGGTACAGATTCCACTGAGTATCATGGTTCTGAGATGTCCTAAAAGTTGATTTGTTTGATAGAACATGTACAGACAAAAGTAAAATAAAACCTCTTTTCAAACAATTTCCATTTATATATTCCAAACTGGCAATAGATACAGGCATAGGGGCAAATGCTGATAATTTACATCTGAGACTTTTGAAAATGTCTGTTGGGTACCACTCAAAATACTAAAATACAGGGAAGAGAGTGGGAGAGAGAGAGAACTATATTCACTAATAATAACAGGGCAAGTAAATTGAGAAGCTTGAGTTATGAACAACACACACTAGCAAGATGTGACAAATAGAGGAGAAATATTATCTCTTGGCAGAAAACTAAAACATGTTTGGGGAGGTGGGCTAGACTTTGATTTAAATAGTTTCTGTAGGCTGATCTGACTAACACACCCACCTCTTCCCACACTCTAGTTCAGTAAACAGTTAGCTTAATTCAGTGATTAATAGAACAAACTAGAACAGAAAAGATGCAAAAGCATTAAAAGGTACAATGAAAGATCAGATAAAAAATGTGTTTTTTTTTCAAAAAAGAGAAAGCCAATATGAATAGCTCTCCGCAGTTTACAAAAATTAAAAAAAACTGTAAATATCTTATTAATATAATAGATTGAAAATCTCAAGCAGCACATTATGCTTCAATAAAGAAAAAAAGCACAAAGATTAAAAAGGAAATTGTGGGGAGAACACAATGAAGGCAGTAAAACCATATTGAGTTGGAAATTACAAGTTACAAAACTAAATGAATACAGCTAAAAACCCATTTGCATATAGTTGAAAAGGTCTGATACATGAAAAGATACAAAATAAATTTAGAAACTATTACAGGAAGAAATTTCATGCTAGTAGTAGTCTTTTTAAAATGTTTATTTAGACATACAAAAGAGAAGAGATTTGCAAAATCAGAATCTTGTATAAAAGGAACAGCATTGATAAAACTTCTTGCTTTGAAGAAACCTATCTAAATATCAACACTTGTTTTATCGGTTCTTAAACTGAAGAGAAAATTAATTTCAGAAGCTACATATAATCCAAGTTCTTAAAAGACTAAGTCAGGAGATCACAATTTCAAAGAAATCCCTTATACAGAGACACTATACCTCAAAAGAAAAAATTCCTCCACACATAAACAGAAAAAAAAAAATCAACAGGACGATGAGGCAGGAGAACTGAAGTTTGAGGCTTACCTAATACCTCAGAGAGATGTCAAGGCCCCCCTGAATAATGGAACGATAGCATGCTTGCCTATCCTATGGTGAAACTTCAGTTCCTTCTCCAGTGCAGTAGGAGAAAAAGATCAATTTCACGTTTTATTGATAATTGCATACCTGACTCCCTATGTGTGAAATGTTGTCTTTTAATCAGTCTAGTCCTCTTTACAAATCTTATGTCTTACTTATCATGACAATGAAATGTAAATCCCACCTTGGAAGGATTTGATACCAAATGATAGTAAAACCGAGGGAATTACCAAAGGAATGGAAGTCGAAGATTAATTGGAAAAGTACAGATAAAGACTCAGCTGCTCAGTGCCTCTGGGTTCTTCTCCAGGCCACAGTTCCAACAGCAGTCAGTGGGTTTCCTCCAAGCAGGAGCAGAGTGTTTTAGTCTTTCCTTACTATCCTGTAAGATTTAAAACCTGTCACCACTAATCTGAGTAAAACTCATTTTTTTCAGAAATTTCCACAAAATTCTCCCTTATCTATCTCTACCACCTCCTGCAACTACCCACAACTTATACTACCCTGGCTCCAACTCTTCCTAGATTTCAAATCCTTCATGTTCCAGTAATGATAAAAAGCAAATGTACTTTCAAATGTGGAAGTTGGGTAGGTGGGTCGGGCTAGGAGAACTGCATGCAGATCATGAGTTTCAGTTCATAGTCACCTCTGTGAAGTTTGACCTGTCAAAACCTTCATCGCCAAAGTCACAGTTACAAGAGTCCTTCCCCTACCATCTACGTTAGCACCATGGCTGGAGAATCTGAAGCTGGACAAAAAAGGGAACATTACTAGCATGAGTCCATTTATTTATAGGGCGTATTTGGTTCACCATCAATTTCTGCATGGATTTTTAGTTTTAAGACACTTACTTCTAATACTTACCTTCATGACTGCACCTTTGATAGTCCTGATTTTGGTCCTGCTCTACAGTCAACACATTTGTTATCCTAAATAGCATCTAATCTACCTGTGCCATCAGTGGTAGACTGTGAGCTTCTTCAAGGAAAGGCCAGTGAGTAGGAGCTCACTGAGCAATGATTTTAAAAAGAGAAAAGAAAAGCATCAACATTCTTTCATTTTAAATGGCATAGTCCTTTAGGGGAAGAAAATACCTAATAGATAAGAAAGGGAGTGTTGTTTTGCCTTGTTTTACTGACAAGGACATTTTACTTAGAAATAAACCACACTGTGAAGTAATAATGTATAATTTTTCAATAATGACAATAATGTATTTGTGACTTAAACTATATCATGTATCTATTGTAAGTATATGCTTACACTTATAATGATATTCACATAATATTGAAATTTAAGCAAACCATAGAGATAACATTATTTAACTCCATGTTTTTAGCACAGGGGTAGTTACAGGACTCATTTTAAACAACAATGTGGTCAAAACATAAAACCAAGATGATCTTCTTTTCTCTTTCCTACTGAAGTTTATCAAGTCTAGAAGATCAGAGCAGTTGACTTCGGGTACTGGTGAATGGAGAGCTTTTCTATCTCCTTTCCTGGAGCTGAAACAATTTTCTGGCTTAAGATAAAATAAAATACACACATTTTTATGGATGACTTGAAATAAGGTCCCTGGTAAGGTGAGTGATTGAAAAATGACCTTTTAGAAGTCCATTCCAGCCTACTGCATTTATCTTCATCGTTAGCTGATTTGTGACTCACCTCTAATATGAAGGAGAGTGATGTTGTTCTGTCCTTTAAGATTTGTGAGGCTCAGTTTGAAGTGTCTATTACAGAAAGTACTAGGTCTATGCACAAAGGCAAATCATTTTGTTCACCATGGATTAGTAAGGCAAATGTATTTTATAACTAGCCATGGCTGGGGGAAATCAGAGGAGATTACACAGCAATAACTAGCCAACTTAGAGTTGGGAAAGTGAAAGTAACATATTCAACAGTAAAATATAAAAGAAATCTGAATTTAAACTTTAAAGAAGTTACACAAAAGCCTATATTCTCAGACGGAAGGTTGTACTTGTTTGTTGCTTGTTCCACCACTGGCCAGGACTTTGGGATCCCATGGTGATTCTTATACATAATGGTGAAAAGTGACTGGACCTGCACACAAGAATATCCAATGTTCCTCCGGGTTATGCAGAAGACATAAATGATGACCAAAAGAAAAGATAAGGAAGAGTCTCAGTGAAACAAAGCATGTGTTGTTGTTATTAAGAATGTTGTGTGCAACTGAGAGAGAGTCTGTATACTAGCAAAAAAAATATTTTGGTCAGTTTAGTCATAAAATGAGCAATGGTGACTCTTTGGATTGTTTAGTCCTTTCTGGTGATGGGGCTACACACATATACACCAATTGTCTGGGCAACAGAAAAAGGAAACTGGAGTTTGAGATTAGCCTGGTCTACACAGCAACTTGAAGGCTTCCCTTAGGAGCATACAAAAACCCTTTTGTATTCCCTGCCCCCACCGCAGGGGTATTCACTTTGATTTTGTTTTTAAAATTATTATTGTTTATTCACCTGGTTTTTTTTTCTGTTTGAAAACTGTGTTACACTCTTTCCTGTAATGCGCTATAACTCACTCTGTAGCCTCAAAACTTAGGACATTTCTCTGCATCAACCTCCCCAAAACTGGGGTCACAGGTTTGAATTATCAAGGCAGAGTGAGTCAGTTATTTTTCAATCCATTTAAAATCTATAACATTTTTTAAAAAGTATATTTTTAAAAGGCTAATAAAGCATTTAAAGTTTAGAAGGAGCAAATATACTTTTTTAAAAAGGACGATAGGGAAAACAAAACAAACAAACAAAAAAAAAACAAAAGAAACAATAGAAAGAGTGTTTATCTCCAAAGCAATAAATCTTCGCATTAGGTATAAAAAGTGATGATGCTTCCCCCCCCCCCATCATAGGTCTAAGCACTGGCCTAAGAGCCAAAAGTATTTCACACTCATGAAATAATTTTAGTATAAGCTTTTATGTACAATTACTCTTTATTAAATGTATAAACATATTTACAGATGTTCCTGGGCCTTATTTTGCTGGAATCAATTTATAAGTGAGGACTTCTTCCACATTCATAACCTTAAAGTGTTTTAATTTTATAAAATAGTTAGAAATAAAAAAGAAGGAATTCTCAGATGGAGATCAATTAAAATTTGACGCTTTCAAATTTTATAAGTTTCATGGGCAGCCATTACAAAGCAAGGTAATAACTCAAAAGTTCATATTAATCAGTATAATTTTCCCCAGAAAATAAGAAGTTCTGCCTATAAGATGTTCATTTCGATCAAATATTGCCCCCCTCAACCTAGAACATATGCATTCACACATACCAAGAACAAGTAGAAATACAGGGGGAAAAATCAGGAAGTGAAACATCACGATGACCAATCAGGACTGAGCTTTGTGGGAAGCTGCAAGAGATTCAATTAGGCTGTTGAGCCTACAGAATGAAAAGGCAGAGTCAGTCCTTGAAAAACCAGATACACCATCTCCCAGTCACTGACACCCCATCCAAGGCTAGAATACTTTTCTTTTTTTCTCTAACTGCTCCTTTAATTTTTAAAGTTCCTCGGTTATAAAACCTTATCAAACTGCCAGAAAACAAATACAAAACATGCCAGACATACAGACATTATGAGCACAAAAGCTTGCAAGAACGTTAGCATTTTGGCAGCAAATATTGCTTTCTACTGGGATAAGCATACAAACAGCCTGTGCGGACTTTTGATTTGGATGATTCTGGTCTGGTGGGAAAACTGTGTTATGTAACCTGAACCAAATTTGACACAGGTAATCGGTTAGGTTTTCCAGTGCCTAGATGATTTTTATGTTTCATGTATACGATGTATGCTTTTTCACCTATAGAACAATCTCTATCATGATTTCATTATACTTTGAGACCCAATCATCAAGATTGGACTAACATGTACTTATCTCAAAGTGGCTATAGGAACAAATGTATTTGATTTCCTCTGTCAGTGCAGGAGAAACAAATCTATTGGCTATGTTGTCAGAGTCTAACTAAATTGCCTTCATTAAAGAACACAAGGTGCTAGGTTAAATTACGGTTCTTTAACATGCGCTGACTGTGCTACTACTGAAGTAACTCTGTAAAGGTGAAAGAACCTCCCTAGAAAACTGTCTCTAAGCCGCCTAGAACACACACGCTCCAGGCTCTGAGGAACTATGTAGTAAATGTATACAGTACATAACTGAATGAGATACTATGAAAAAGAATTTATACAATGAATTTAACTTTGGCTCAGAGCACAACATTTCAAGTCAACTGTTAAGTAATTTCTTTTTTGTTTTGGACCAATATGTGCCAGAAAACGCATTTGCCCTAGTCGGTGTCTATTATTGATGACGCCGAGGCTTCACTGTATTGGTCAGTGTTTGTTTGGTTCTATTTTCCTCTTCCCGGTGTTCTGTTTAGGAGAGAAACGCTTTTCTTGCAAAGGACTTCCAGGACACACTTCTGGTGAAGGGCAGTGCCAATGGGAAATTTTCTGTGACCGGTTGATTTCATGGGGTGTATTTAAAAATATCACAGTCTTTTTTTTTTTCTTTCAAATTTCAATGCAAAAATATGCATCACATATCTCTTCTGGCCCTATTTCTCTTGTTCCAACTTTCCATAATAGTCTGTATTCCATCCAATTTGAACACTGAATAGATTCTTTTAAATTCATCTTTCTGTAAGAAACATGGTTTACTTTCTGTCCACTGAGGAATTAACTCTCTTGATATCTACCTGATTTATATTTTTATTTTCAAAAAAATGACATAGAATTTTTATTTTAGTAAAGAATACTTATCTTTAAAAACATTTAAAAAGACAGTCTGGATTTCCATCATCTTTTATGAAATTACTATAGCAACAAAATTACATTAGACTTTCTGATTTCTCCATGGTGTCCTTAGATAAATAAACAACCCAGTAGACCATGTTAAATGCCCCAAATGTCACTGGGAAAAGAATACGAGCATATTTGTCTATTTTACTTGTGCCAGATCCGGAAGGTGGTGGAGCAGGGGGAGGAGGTGTGGCCGACCCAGTTCCAGGGGCCCCTGTTGTGTTAACTGTGGTCTTAATTCGCCCAAGTCTGGACCCAAACGCAGGGCGAGTAGAAGTTGACCCCAAGGAAGCCGGTCTTGATGTGCTACAAGGGCTGGGGGAGGACGCAGAGGAAAGACCTTTGGCTGCAGAAATCGTCTCAGCCGCATTTGCTCTGCTGAATGGGTTTGGACTGGAAGCTAAGTACTCCTTAGGGGTGGCTTCAGAAGACTCGTGGACCGTGGTGGTCTTGCTGGAATGGTTTCCCACCTCAGTTCTGCTGTTGCTATCAGTTTCTGAGTGGACCAAGGCATTCGTTCTTTTCCTCATGTTCAAATTGCCATGTATATTCTGAAAAGATACATCAAAATTTACATTTACTATGTAATTTTATGTAGCTCTGTACAGAATTCAAAAATACAAATGTATGATTACTTGGAGTCTATAAAATAACCATGTAAAAATCCATTGCAACCATTTAACTAGCTATAATTGCTTATTTCTACTCATATTAATAGTAAGTAAAGAGATGGAGTAATAAAGAGAATTGAGAGGAAGCTTACAAACGGGTGACCGGAATAAACAGGCCTCAGAGGCCATCAATGAAAATATGTAATTGGGAGTTCAGTTTGGAGAGATGGGCATTTTCTATGACAATATATCTGGACACTACATTCAGACCTTTTTTTAAAGGTTCACTCCATAGCTTATGCCCTGTGAATTACGGCTTCAAGGTCAATGAGTAGAGTTTGAAAACAGAAAAAAGAAGAAAGCAGTATCAAACAGACTTCAAGGGGCTGAGAATGAATTCCTCATGTCAGCTTGGAGTATTCTCCTAAGATGTAGCAGCTGATGAACTGTGAGAATTGTGGCCTAACGTATCGTAACAAATTTCAGTGGAAACAACTGAAATCAAAGTCAACAGCAGCGTAGAAGCTGAAGACATCATTGCAGATGCTGCATTTTTCTCTACAATTCTTAAGCCCCATTTAACATAAAAGAATAATCTATTTTAGTTTATTATAAAATATTACATACATAGTAAAGAATATAAAAGTGTTAAAGGGTTTATACTATTGCTGGAGAGAAATTATGTATACTTACATATCATGAAATGAAAAGAATATAAGAAAAGTAAATATATTGAAAGTAAACTAGTAAGTAGGGGCAGAGAGAAGGTTCGACTAGTAAAGGTATTTGCTGGCAAGATTGGAATTGGGGTTCCTTCCCTAGGACCCTTATAGTGGAAGGAGAACCATCTCCAACAAGTTGTTCTCTGACCTCCACACTCACACTGCTACTTTTTCATTCTCGTGTGTGTGTACCCACACATGCAAACCTATAAATACACACAACATAAGTACATATAAAGTAAAAATAACTCAAACATGGAGAAGGGAAGGGATGGAAGAATTATTACTTGCATACACACAGAGAGAGAAAGAGAGAGAGGGAGACACACACACACACACACACACACACAGAGAGAGAGAGAGAGAGAGAGAGAGAGAGAGAGAGAGAGAGAGAGAGAGAGAGATTATTTCTGCTTAGAGTTTGATTATGAGTTCACTAATGCTTATCCTAATGATGGATGATTCTAACTCCATCCACAGTAGAATAACAGAGATTGGATTTTCTTCCCAGATTGAACAGAAAGACCTATATAAAAGATGCACAACAACTCATTATCTGAAGATACTGGATATCAAACAACATAGGAGGAGAACCACGGGAAGAAACAAACCTGAGAGTTTCCATACTGTGATGCAGAGAAAAAAAGAACCCACAAAAATGCTAGCCAGCCTCCTGAACTGAAGAGATGATTTGAGAATGTGCGGAGAGAAAGGCGACTAGTATTTGCAGGACAAAGAACTAAAGAGGAAAATGTTGACCAACGATCTCTAAAAGTCTGGACAGAGTTATGTTCAGTCAAGAGCAGTTTATGAGTGAGAAGTACTCATGCAAGATTGAAAAACAGAATCACCAGAAGGCATGGAAGAGAACGGTATTTGATACCCTCCCAAAGTCTACTATAATAAATGAGTGGTCCCATTCGTCAGATTTGAAAGTGTCAATATAAACTCAGAAAGTCTTTACTTCAGAAGTTTGGAATGAATAGTTCTAAACTGTGACAATAAATCTAATAGTCCTACTGCTGATTCATGAATTTTAATAGCAAGATCAGAAGATGAAGCTGACTTCAAGAATGTATCTGTTCTCTAGAACAAGGTTCAAAAATATTTAAGAGTTTCTTTGGGATTCCCTCTGGATTAGTATTCTAGAATTTTCTGAAATCCTGTGAAACATACTGTGTATAGTGGGACTGGTTACAAAACTGATTCTAATAAGCATTTATCTTTCTAGTCATGTCCCATGTCAGGTGCACACTCCTCCCTGATTAAGAGATAGAGTCGGGGACTGGAGAGACAGCTCAGTGGTTAAGATCACCAGCTGCTTTTCCAGAGGTCCTGAGTTCAATTCCCAGCAACAACATGGGGGAGGATCTATAATGGGATCTGATGCCCTCTTCTGACATACAGGCATACAGGCAGAGCACTCATATATTAAAATAATAACAATAATAGCAAAATTCAAAAGGAGATAGATTTCATTTGCCCATAATCTAAATTATTAATTTCTTTAGCTAATAATGTACTGTGGTAATGATAATATGTCATTTCCAAATCTACCTCAAGAGTTCTAATTTGATTTCATCTTGCTTAAGGTGTTGTAACCAAAACGACAAAGAACACTCCCAAGTTAATTTGCAGGGTAGGAAACCATTGGAACATAATCACTTATCCCAATGAGACCAAACAACAAACTGATGGGTCTGTTCCAGCTAAGAGAATATAAATAGCTTAGGCAAGCTAAATCAACACAAGCAGAAATTTCACACTGATCTGTAGAATGGAAAGCAAAAGTAAATATTTATTGTTTGTGCATAAGTGTTGTCATGACTTCTAAGGTAATAGCATTGTTCTTTCAACAGTTTAATGTCTGTAGACCAATAAAATCAAGCATTGAAGAAGGAGGACTTTCTAAACCTCCGTTGTGAGGGAAGTTCCTTCAACCATGTGTGCTAATGTAAAGGCTGCTTTGCCCAGAGCTCATAGAGGACCTTCAGGGGGTGCTGTTGCCTAATGTCACACAATAGCTAAGTGACCAAGGCTTGTCCTTCTTCAGAATTCCATTTTCCAGCCACTACAGTATTTTTAAACTGGGAGAAATTTTAGTGTTATCTTGCTGTGTTGAGGAGGAAAATAAGAAGTCACAGCAAGTATTACTAAGATTTGCTGCACTGAATAGCTTTTCTACTCAGACAAGTGACAGAGGCATTCAAAAACTTACTGTTCAGAAGTTTATTCAAGACTTGGAAATCAGAAGTATGGCATATACTTTCAGTGTCATAGAGGCGTATGGATCACCGGGCCACCCGAGGGATGTGAATATTTTAGAATAATTTACCTGAATGTGATTCTGCTATTTATTATTTGACTTGTGACCAGATACTGTAAAGTTTCCATAGGATATAAGCTACAGGCAGGAGGATGTCTCAAAGCTTGTGAACCAGACTGCCTGGTGTACACAGTGGAGAGGATGTCTCAAGGCAAGGTGGAAAGCAGAGACCAAAACCTGAAGCTTTCCTCTGACCCCTACATGCATTCCATGTCACACATTCTTCTCCCTTCACGCACAAACACACAGGCGTACAGACTGCCCTTTCGCCAAAAGATTTTGAATTAGTTTTCCACCTACGTAATTGACTAATGAATTGAAAAAATCTTGACATATGTACATCTGACATTGGTAGGGGTAAATTTTTAGTTGTGTGGAAACTATATTCTGATATATAGTCTCTATATAATTCAAGGTATTTAGAAGTATGCATCAATGAAGCAAGAAGCAATGGGAAGGAAGAAAGCAGAATGAAGGATGCCATTAGGATTGCTGTAAGGAAACCAAAACCAAATCTGTGTGTATGTCTAGTTTAAATGTGATAATGAGTTTCTAGAGCATAACGAGTGTCTTATTAATCACTGTCCTTTAAATTACTCAATAGGAGCCTACTTCATAACTGATCTTTGCACCAAGATGAGAATATTATAGAAAGTCAAGATCTATCAAAGTGTTTTTATTAAAAAAAAAAAAAACATTACATCCAGGGCCAAGTTTACTCTTTCTTTGTGGAACCAGCTTTTGGGCTACTGTAGGTAATGCAAAAATAAATAAATTATCTGGATTTTATTCTAAATCTGAGAAGGCCTAAGAAGTCTCGATAGTATTTATCATTCCTACACAAAGGAAAGAGTATTTTGACAAATTTTAGACAAATCTTTGCTCTTCTCTAAGCAACCAAATGCTATTTAAATTATCTTCTATTTATATCTGAAGGTAGACCATGTAAAGAGTAGTCATCATTTCCCATGATGAAAAACCACCAAAGGACTGAGGAATCCATTCCTAGCCAGAATAGGAATCACTAGGAAAAATACTGGCATAGAAGTCAAGTCTTGGAGCAAACAAATTGTCAGTCAGTGTGATGTTGATTCATTTAGATTTCAGAGTCTTCTATTAGTATTCCATAAACACATAGTCATTTCCAAAAGGACATAATTATCAACTGGATTTTTTAAAGATAAATCAATTTTAAAACATTTTGTCACTAGTCACAATAGCCTAAAGGGGAAAAACTGTAGTGGGATAGAGATGGTAGGTGGCAGATTCAAACATTGCCAACAATTTAAAGCAGCAACCGGCAAACAGGTTTACATCCAAGTAATTCATCAATCATTACTATGATCTGGCACAATTTCTAAAGAATTATTGTAACTAAAAAAAATTAAAATTCATCTCAACTTATTACTCTAGAAGTGAATAAAGTAACTAAGATTAGGTTTGCAGAATGCAAGCAGCTATGTTTATATTCTTTGCACAAGAAGTTAATGAAGTTTAATAAAATGTAATTTAATACTCCTAAATTAAAAACTAACAAGGCTAATAATGAACAGGTTTATCGTCCAGAATATCAATGAGTCAGATACACACAAAATAAAAATCAAATAATGTAGAGACATTAATTCAAGGCTACTTGAGCAAGTTTCAGGGCAGTCAAATATCTTTTTTTTAATAAGGAAATAAATTGTGGTAGATCAGCTACAAATATGTCCAGAAGTAATGATTTACTGAGATCTATCAATAGTGATTTTAGAAAGTTCTATCATATAGAAATGAAAAACTTTACCTCCAAATAAACATGCTAAATATTTCATAAATAGTATCCAAGGGATTCTATCATATATTGAGCTCCAGAATGCAGAAATGAAAACACCAAGTTCCCAATTTATTAT